TTTGTAGGCTTTATTGAGAGGTATATATGCTCTCCACCTATGAAACAATGAGTATTTGGACTGTTAGGCTTTTATAACTTTAGACAAAGACATGTTACATATGCTGATTAAGTCTTGAATATTTTGCTATATGAATCTAATATTATTGTACCATGGAAAAACTACATCTTGTGAATCATTAATGAAACTAGTGATTGATGGTTGCCACATGGAACAGGGATCTAATATCCGATGTCCAGTGCATTTATCTGACACAGACTTCTGATTGTCACACTGAACAGCACAAAACAGATCGGACAGAGTGAATTGATTGCACTGACAGTAATGATGATCCTACAATATCTTAGTTGTCTCTTTTCTTTCAGTTTAACTAAGGTTGTGTTCAGTTAAAACTTCCGCTTCCTTGTCCTGGAAGACTTTGGCTGCACCTGCAACCCAAAGAAGAAAAATTAAAAAATAAAGAAAGCTTTTTTCCCCTTTTTGGAATTCTACATCACCAGTTGGCAGCTACTTCATTCAAATTAAAGGTAAGTGGCTGATTGATTCACTTCGTTAAGAGTTGGACTTCCCTTGTGGCCACCTCCTTGGAACCATGCCACAAGTTATGGAGGCTTGACTCATTGGCTATATGAAACAAAATGTGACAATATAAGTGAGGACAACGCCTCATGGTCACAATCCATGGGGAAACCAAATTCTGCTTCTATTGCCTGCTGAGCTGATTGTTGGTGGAGGTGATGCCTATGTTGTCAGCAAATACTCCTATCTCTTTAATGATCTAGAATTACAGATGGACTAAGTTGTTGAGGTGCATCAGCTATTAATGATGCATCCAGTTTTAGCGGAACAGAAATGGTCAGGGAAAATCTTTTGGTCAAATAAGTTAAGACAGAGGCCACATTGAGCCACAAGTGATTGTAAGACTTCTTAGTTTATGAAGGAGCCTCAACGAGTGTCGAGGGGTATTGATATTGGTAGAGGATCTGTCCTGATAAAATTATGTGTTTTTATCATATAATACTTTATTGATGGAATTACGGAGTGCTCCAGGTATGATTTATTAACTTTTCTGCAATTTCTTTTTGCAATAACTTAGCACTTGATTTGTTTTAATTCTAGGTATATCTAATGATCAGTGAGTCACTCTTATATTATCTTACCACCAAAAATCATGTCCTGCTTTATATCACACAGTTTGCTGTGAACAAATTAGGTCTCAAAGTTCCTAAGCTGTTTCTTTCAAATCTCTTATGAACAAGATTCAGCTGTCTAGTAGTAATCCAGGTTGCCATATAAGTAGCTCTCACATCATTGACATGAATAGACACGCATTATTCTAGGTACTGGAAATATTTCACATGGAAAATCAATTTCATTGTGACCAATTCCAAGTGCAGGCTGGGGAAAATTCATTTGAAGAACTCAGGGCATCTAAGATGTGCAATCTGCCAAATGGACCAGGCACCAAATAATGACCTATCGGTGACTTCTGTCGATGGCTTCTGCCCAGCATCGAACCCATGGGAAGGTCCATATCTTTGTGCTGACTGCTGGCGAAAGAAGGACGCCATGGAGGGAAAACGGCCAAGGGAGTCAACCATGTCCCGGTGAAGGTACTGATGGAGTGTGTCGAGTGTGTTTGTATTCAGCTGGGTCACTCTACCACTAAATGTAAAAAGGGTGAGGTGAATAAAGTGTTGGCTGTTGTCTGAAGGCTGTTGCTCAAGTGATGTTTGCTGAACTAACTGCAGTTCTATGAAGATTGTGATAGTGTAATCACTAACCCAATTTGAAATTTGTATGAGCCACTGGGAGTGCGATAGGTTTTTTTTTTTTTTTTCCGCAACCATCATATCCAGCCAATGTCTTATATGTTGTAGAGTTGTTCTCATCAATGTTTATAATTCTTCAGAGCATACGTTACTTGTATCGCAGATTTTAGAATGTGATGGTGGGTTCCTTTAAAGCTAACGCAGGGTTTATAGGAGTTGGCTGTGTTTTTAAGATATATGTTGGGAATTTGGATGCAGTGCTCATAAAGTTTAATCTCATGTATAAGCTGAATTCTGGGCGATCAGAGATCTTTCCAAGATGAATGCCTAAGCGCTGAGTCAATGTGTTGAACCCAAAACGTACATTCTATTTTGTAGCATGAACTAATATCCAGGCTCAATATGTATTACCATCTCATAGTAGTAGATGAGGATACCATTTGAACAATCAAATGAACTATATGAATATTCAAAGTTACTGTTGCAAATCGCTTTGTGGGCCTTACGGAAAGCAAAGAATGAGGTTAGAATTGATAATAATAATAATAAAATTACTCTCGTTACTATCTATCTATCCATCATAATATGTCTTAGTAACCGCAGCAGCCTCTTATGTTGAACGATTAAATTACTATCTACAAATAATGATCAATTTCGTTTAATTTTTTACTAAATGGGAGAAAGAAACATAGTCGAGGATTGTTCAAAATGAATTCAGATGAATTTTTGTTTGAAAAAAGTAATGATAGGGCATTGGTTTTGTTATTAAAGATGCTTTTGGCAATTATTTACTTACTGATCGGTAGGTAGGTAGGTATGTATATTGATGAAGGAGATGAGGAGACTTGCAAGGCTCTTAGCGATGCTAGAGAGCATTTTGGGCAACGAACTATTAAAGGAGTACAGCTTTTATTTATTTAGTCCTTTTTATTTGAAAGTGATTCGATCCTACCGATGGACACTTTCCAACAAATGAAACATCTCACTTTTATGAATTTTGAAGACCATAGTATTAGCAATTATTTATTAATTTTGAAGAGATATGAATTATTCACATTTATATTTACAATGAGGTGAGTAAAGCAGCTCATTGCATTGCTGCCAAACCAATTTTGTAATATCCTCTACTTTCATAATAATAATAATAATAATAATAATAATAATAATAATAATAATAATAATAATAATAATAATAATATTTTTTTTGTTATGAATAGTTAAGCTTATCATTTTTATTTTTTTAAGAAAAAACTCATGTGTCTCTATTGAAATATATGGATTTGTTAGTGCATTATTACATTAGTGATGGACTTTATATTTGAATCCATATCTAAGGATCACATATTTCATTGAATGCATTAAAAATAACTCATATGTATCATACACTTATCCACATGTAATCCCATCATGTCATGGCATGCTTATGCATATGCCTATGTACAAACTCATTGGTATGGGATACAAGTTACACCATATAATCAATCCATTTCCAGTCTCCTTTTGATGGAACGAATGACAAATTCTCGGAGGTAATAATAATAGTTACAACATTGATGTATAATGAATGGGTGAAAGTAACTTGGCAAAAGATAGATATTATTGAATACATGGGTAGGAAAAGCATAGATGCATCCATGCTTTTCTTTAGCTCCTTTTGTTCACGTTGATGTCATCCATGCTGCTGTTTCTCTATCAAATTACATCTCAGAATTACCTACTCGTCCAAGACAAGGTCATCACATAAAAGATCAATCAATTCATGTCTGCGAACCCTTTCGTCCAAGACATCCCAAGTTGTTCTCGTGTTTGAAGCCACGAAGAAAGAAGAAGTCAGCATCATGTGCTCAACTAACATATCGGACCCAAAACCATCAGTTTCGTAGTGATGTGAAATAAGAAAGAAAGAAAGAGTGCATAACACAACAAATACAATTTAATTTGCATGCGGTGGAGGAGTCGTCATCATCAACACAATCCACATTACATACATTAAAGAATGTCGTCTTTCGTTTTTTTTTTTTTTGCAAAAAGAATAATTATTTTGTATTTTACATTTTTTTTTCCCAATCAAATGGGTGATAGATAGGTAGTTATGAATAAAATCGTATCATTTCAGCAAAATTACAATTGTCCTCCTTTTCTTTGTTTCATTCTTTCAACTCAAATACTAAATCTCAAATAGAGTTATTTTGGATGAATTCAGCCGGAAAAGGTTCTTTTTTTTTTCTTTTATTTATTTTTTTTAGAGCATCCAATTTTTTATAATAATATCAAAATGTCCTTCAAACTATAAACATGACTTTTCTTAACCCCCCCCCCCCCCAAAAAAAAAGGAAACGGTATAGGGATATTTCAGTAAAAGGATAAAAGTTTAAATGTTCAGTGGAAGAAAAAAAATTCATTTTAAGAATTCACCCAATTATTTTTCAAAAATAATTAAGAATAAAGACCGGCCGGCCAGCATGATGAGAGAGACGGCAATTTGCATGTTTTTGTCTTAATTGCTCGGCGAAACAATATTTCTTCCGTTGACTGAACCATCCAAGAAAAGTTCCCCGGCTGAAGTGGTCAACCTCAAACATATATTATAAATAATTTAATCTATGGCAGGCAAGCTGTCTTTTCTTTTTCTCGGGGGACATGTTCTTAGAATCTAAAGATCAACCACTCTTTCTTTCTTTGGCTCTTCTTCACTCAGTCGACCACGAAAAGATCAACGATAATTAGGTGCACAATGTCAAGAACTAATCAATTATGGATGGGACGGTTGAAGACATCAAAAGTGATTGATTGATTGTCCATGATTTCATGTTTTCAGCTATGAATGAGAAAAGGTCCTCGGCATCATCTTGTCCCTACATTATTCATCATAGAGCGATGTGCATCAACAATTATAGCCAATATATATATATATATATATATATATATATATATATATATATATATGTTATGAGGATTTTGAAGGGACATTCCAACTGTTTGTAAAAATTTAAAATGATAATGGAACAGTAAATTACTTTGGTGCTCTCATGAAAGAAGTCATGCTTTTGTAGATTACACGATACACAAATTTCATTTGAAGTATCATTCACACAGGAAACTGATGATGAATAAAGTCTCAAAGTTAATCGAAGCTGATGCAGAAAACACAACAGGTAAAATGCTGAAGATCCATAACCCATTCAAGACAGACAAAAAGTAATCAGATGAGCAGATGCAAAAGTACATGAACAGTGATAGCAGATGCATACACTATCATCCAATCCAATTTTACAGAAAGAATCAAAGAATTGGCAGCTGCGGGAGGAGAACAGAGCTACGGCTCCAAGATCACCAGAGCTACTACGGCCAGCACGAGCAACAACAGAGTGACGAGACCAATCCCCCCCCCGCTCCTGGGCGCCCAATTCGTAGGAATCATTTCTGGCATCGAGCATTCCTCCCCGTTGAAGTACACCTTGGAGGGGTAGCCGTCCCCCGCAGTGATGTCGATCCCGGGCGTCTTCGTCTTGGTGAAGGACATGACCGACTGCTGCTTCCCGGGCACTCTGGGATCGTTGTCCGGGTTGTTGCCGTTCGCTTCCCCATTGAGGTAGTCCAGCCCCGGTCGGCCCTGCATGAAGATCGTGTTGTCCCCCATCGCCGTCCCGTTGAAGGAATACATCTGCTCGTACCCCGCATAGGCCTTGTCCATTCTCACGGCCAGGAACCAGTCCGCGAACTGGTCCTCGCGCCAGTTGAACAGCGTCACCCTGGCGCTCCACCCCTTGTTGTAGTTGGTCAGGACGTGCCAGTTGATGCTCACGCCGCAGTAGTCGCCGCACGGCAGCGGGGAGGGGACGTTGTAGTGCTTCATCTCCGCCCAGGCGACGGCCTTGGCGGTCCGGTTGTCGAACGGCACGAGGAGGGCCTCCGGCGGGAGGAGCAGCGCCGGCGCGGTGGCGTTGCAGGTGGGGCCGCTGGTGCCGGCCCGGCAGCCGCAGGCGCAGGTCTTGCAGGGGACGACGGAGTCGTTGTAGAAGGCGGAGAAAGAGACGCAGCACTTGGGGCTGGCGCCCTTGGGGCGGGAGATGTTGCAGACCACCTGCCAGCTCGCGAGCGCGAGACTGTCGGAATCGAGGCCGCTCGAGTCGGGGAAGGCGGTGGGGCTGACGCGGTTGGGCTGGCCGCACTGGTAGTCCGGGTTGAGGGTGCCGGAGATGTTCCAGTTGACCGGGGGAAAGAGGACGGAGCGATTGAGGTCGGGCGGCATCTTGTACACCTGAACCTGGAAGGCGGAGACGGCCTGCTCCGGGTCCATCTCCGGCGGCAGGATGGTGCCGTTGCGGCAACAGTGCGGGATGCGGCCGAGATCGGTGTTGTTGTACTGCCAAGGGGTGAGGTCGACGATGGTGGGATTGCGCTTGCAGCTGAGCACCTTGGAGAAGTCCAGATCCTGGTAGTACTGTCCCTGCTTGCCGAAGACGCAGTCGGAGACGTCGACGACGGACGGGTAGGCGCCCTTCATCGAGTAGATGAACTCGTTGCGAGCCCACTCCCAGGAGAGCTGCCAGCGGTCGAGGCGGCCGAGCGGGTTGTGGTTCTCGATGGTCACGAGGGCGAGGTAGCTGCTGCCGTAGGACTGCAAGACGTCGTAGGAGATGATGAGGTCGCCGGAGAGGCGAGGGAGGAAGCCAGTGACGTTGATTTCCTTGGGGACGTAGTTGGGATTGGGAAGGCAGCAGGTATCCACGGCATAGGAATCGTTGTAGACGGTGGGCCGCGGGCAGCTGTAGGAGGGATCGTCCAGAACGAGGAACTCGGGGAGTGGCACGGAGGGGGGCGGGGAGCCGAAAAAAGTACCGACGAGGGTGATCTTGGCCTCGATCTGGGACAGGTCGTTGGCGGTCTCGATGGCGGTCTTGAGGTCGGTGTTGGGGTAGCCGGAGAAGGCGGTGGCGTTAGCGTCGAGGGTGGTGTTGTAGGGGAAGGTGGAGCCATTGGTGAGGACGCCGCCGCCAACGGAGACGATGAGCTCACGGTGGCGGAAAGGGATGAGGAGGGTCCAGGAGAGGAGGTCGGAGGCGCCGTGGTTGAGGACGGTGGCGGTGGCACCGAAGGAGTAAGGCTGGTCCGCCGGGTCAGAGGTGAAGGGGTGGATCTTCTCCCGTTTCTCAAGCACGTAGGAGAGGTAGATGCCATTGCAGATGGCGTCCGGCGAGGGCGCGGGGACAGGGGCTGGGGTGGGGGTGGCTGCCGGCGCTTGAGACCGAGAATCGTCCACGGAAAGCAAAAGTACAACCAGAAGAATCACAAAAGACGGGCGAGAACACCAATCCATGTTTCAGCAACTATTTCTCTCGCAAGCACACGCAAGCACACTCCTACGCGTGCGACTCAACTTCTCTGTGAGAGAGGTGAATGAAGCAGGAGAAAGAAGAAGAAGACAAAGGAAGGAAGAAGGATGAAAGCAAAGGAAAGGGGGAAGCGCGTTAGAGAAGACAGTTGGGAGAGGGTGGAATGGATTTTGTTGTGGCGGTCCATTGTTTTCCCGATCAAATCTCATGTATTAATTTAGGAGGAGAACCGCAAGGATTTGGAAACGGTGGAGGTGTGCTTCGTGTTCTGGAGTGGGTGATGACCGGACTTTTTCGAACGTTGAAAAGGTGAAAGGGGGGGGGGGGGAGAGGGATTTCATGACACTTTATTTTTTTAATATTTCTTTTAATTCTGATATATATATATATATATATATAGTCTTTATCTATCTCTCGTGAGAGAACCTGAATTAATGACATGAGCGGAAGTGTTTTGATTGACGTATATACTGTTATCTATTGTGATATATATATATATATATATATATGGTGTATAGGAAATAAAAAATCGAGAGACAAGTAACAATGATAATGGTTCGGGGCACGTGGGTCCCACGTGCTCCCCCCCCAGTCCGCATCGATCGATTCAAACTGCTGAGGGACCCGCACGGAAAGTACCCCCGGATTTGGTCGACTCGCTTGCGGCCCACTGGCTGCTGGACGTGCATGCCCGTCATCGCTATCGTGTTCCGGAGCATTCGAATCCGACGTACTCTTTCGACCCGTTCGCGGTGACCAGGTCCGATGCTTGCTCGAGGAAGCTATACTTGGCGAAACGTAAAAGTATTTTACTCATTTGGCTGGTATTTTTACTACTTTTTGGTTTATTTCTAAAATTTATATATAGTACAAAATTTCTAAAACTTTGTACACTTAGGTTAATAATTTCCCTGCAACACCATTCGAATTAGTTTTAATTTCTAAATGTCGAACAACCAAGTAAGTAGCCTTTTGTACATCTTACATGTCTTACATACACCTCCTTAGTATATATTTTATTTGCCAATGATATTATGTGATGAGAGTTTAAATAAAATTAATCTTAAACTTGAGTTCAAAAAGAAACCTACTAACTAAAGGTTTTTAATCAAGACTAAAACTAAATAAAATTATGTCAGGTTTTTTATTAGTAAGAGAGTTTATCAAAGTTCATACTATTTTGCATTTGGAAATAGGCACAATTATTAGTCATGTACAAGATACATCTCCTTAAGTGATGAGATGAGAGTTTAAATGAAATTTATCTTAAACTTGAGTTTCAAAGAGAAACCTAATAACTAAAAATTTTTAATTAAGACTTAAACTGAATACGAGATATAGTTTTAATTATTCAACAGGTTAATGATATTAATAAAAATATGATTTATCAAAATTAAATTTTGATGGTTAAAATGAACAGAGGTGTGTTGGAAGTTTCATGTGACAACATTACCTTTAAGATTAAAAAATATATGGCATAGTTTGTAGGCCAATGGTGTAGTAAGAATCTTAGTGTTGGGTGGTTGACAATCAATATGTACAAAATATTTATGTCCTTTGGATAAATAATATTGAAATGTATGTGTATATTTATTTATTAGGAAAATTAGAAAGAAAAATATTTTTTTTAGTATGCCAACAATTAGGTGCTGCTGCTTCATTAAAAGATAAATAATAATTGTTTAAAATAAATTGGTATAGGTGATACGCTTAAGAGATTTATACATATTGTAATTAGAAGATATAAGATAGATAATTAATACAAATGGTATGAGGAGACTTAAAGCGAGATATTATAAGAAATTTTAACTAAAACTTGTAAATTAAATATTAAATTCTCTTAATTTAATTAGAAATACTACTTTATACAAGGCTATATAAGATACAAACCCTAAATACTTACTTGTTGTTGTTCATATCATAGTAAAGAATTTGGTTATTTATTTGTGGATATAAATATTTTAGGCACTATTTTTTTAGTTTATTGATTAATAACTTAAATATTATATTTTGGCACTAAGCCATATGTTATATAAAAGTGTTATCAAAGCAAAGATTTTGCACGCCACAGTACTCAATTAATTCCAAAGGATCCAACATAATTGAAATTTTCAATATTTCTACCAGTTTTACTGTAAAAATGCTTGAAAAAATTAAAAGGGTGGGTAGTCATGCCGAAAGATATAAATGATGTTGATTCGGAGAAACATGAGTTAAAAGAGCGTGTAACTATCATTTGCCTTATATCATATTATCGTATAAAACTAAATTAATAAGTCTTAGGATCAAATCCCAACCCATTACTAAAAAAATAAACTATAAATAATGTTATTTAGATAAGTCAGTTAGAATAACCTTATAAATGAAGAAGATAATGACTTGCTTTTATACTTTTTATGCTTCTATTTGAGAAAGATGCAAAATTCTGGAATTTATACAAGAAAATCTAGTATTCCATGCTATCACACTGGTGAAAAATAATAAACTCAATATAGATGATAATACCATATACTAAAGGTTAGGAAAAATGAAGGCCATTATTTGATAGAGATCAATACCAATACGGCATAACGGGTTTCTAAATTCAAATATTTGAATAAAGTTTAATAACATACATACCCGTAAAGTGTACCCTTTTACACGACACGAAGGATGATGAAATAATAATGATATATTGTGGTAACTTTTCAAAAGAATCGGTATTTTGATTTTATTTATTTTAAAAAATAATCATACAATAAATAATTAATAAATTAAACAAAAGTGGATTTGTTTAAAGATTACTTGATATTGCATTTCATAAAATAATCATTAAAATAATACATTTCAGAAGGGGCATAACAACTAGAATAGTATGTACATCCGAGAGATGATTTGCATTCATTTGAATTGAAGGGTGATGATATGTATTATTTTCAGGCTGTAGATAGGAGAATAGTTCTTTGTTGAATCAAGCATCATCATTAATTTTATTTTAGCATTGATGGCTTATATAGTTAGGCGTTAGACCGTAAAAGCAGTCATGCTTATGTAGCTGCGATGTTTTTCTAGATTAATGAATTTTATATGTATTCTTAACAAAAATATTCAACAAGATTAGAGTTATCAAGATTGATTTAGGGGATTTGTTTCCTTCATCAACAATAAATTGATGTCTGGAAATTTGAAATACTATTATTCTAAGGGAAATAAATCCTTAAAATTTAAGGATTGGTCATCTAAATTCGTATATATTCTAGTATTTTGATTATAAAGAATGAGAAAGTCTTAGGTTTTCTTTCTTTATTAGATCTAGAAAGATCGATAAAGAATTCTTTATATCCTCTTTGAGACGGGATTCTATAAACTCGAAAGAGATTTTTTAGCTTTTATTTTGTTTTTCATATGAAATCGAGCAAACCTCTTATTATTTGATCTCAAAATATGTTCCTTTTAAGACTTAGCTTTTCTCACAAATGCTTATGTCACCGATGGATTAATTACATATTACTTCTTTTAATTAGCTAGCTTTAGTATTTTAATCCCTATACTTTCAAAGTTACATTAGGGTTCTATACTTATGAAAATAAAATATTAAAATCCCTATTATATAAGATTAAAAAATAAAATTTTATATGATTAAAAATTTAAAATAATAAATTAAACGTTTAACTTTCATAAGTATAAGGATAGTAATATAACTTTTGAAATTATAAGTGATAAGGTATATCTTGGATCCAAGACACATCACAATCGATGCCACGCTACGCTACAGTCAAGTCAGCAAGGGGAGCAGCCCTACGTGCTAAGTTAGAATCTGTACCGAGGTGCTGTTTGGCATGTCACGTCCCGAAAGCACATGACGGCCACCACACAGAAGTACCGTCTCCTTCCCCGAGGATCAGCCACCACGTTGAACCCGCGTGCGACCGACCCTCGTACAATAATATAAAAGCCCCTAATCGGTATCCGGCCAAGGGGGAGAGGACACAAAATAAGAGAAAAACAACTACTGACTTACTTGTCGGAGGGGCCAAAGTTAGGAATCACTTGATGAAGGTCATTTTTTACAGGAAAGTGGCCACCCTCGAGCCACAAGCGTCTCAACCTGGGAATTGCCATCTAGTGAACGAAGACGAGCTGCCAACCAACCTAGAGACGGAGAGACGCTGCTCAACGCAGACGACACCCGGACCAAGAAACGCTGATCAACACCCCGTCACGAGGGCCCGGCCTACCTCGGCATCCAACTCAGTTGACAGAAGACTCCCGACATCGATGCATGGACCAAGCCGTGCTGACTCATCAGCCACGACACATGTATTCACCAACATTTTTGGCGCTAGAAGGAGGGCCATGTCGTAGGAGCATCTGGCAAGAGCTCTTCCCGAAGGAGAACCACCGACCGGTCACCCCTCTATCGGGCCTGGAGATTAGTCCCTTCCTGTCCATAAAGACAGAGGGATCCCGACCTCGACGCCAGATCGCTACTGGCGCCTGTTCAATGACCCGGGGTTGACGCCCCTCGAACTTACCACAGGACCCTCGGCTGTGTCGCCCGAGGCATTCCTCAGCCTAACCAAGCAAGTACAAGCAATGGCAGGGATGATGTAGACACTCATCCCCCTCCTTCCCCAGATCATGTGGCTAGCAGCTCCCCCGACTGACTCGACCCAACAAAGGCCGGGCAGGGAGCAGGTCAGGATGGGAGAAGCCCGAGAGCAAATGATGGACCCGAGAGGTCCGCCCGAGCAGAGCATACCCGCACCCTGCCAAATCACACTGCCCCGCTCCGAGCCTAACACCATATCATCCGACTTGACGGATGACCCGTTCAGGATCCAACTGTCTCGGGTCAACCAACGCCTAGACGAGTTCCAACGTGAGTTCCAGAAATCGTGGAGCGAGTCAAACGAAGGCAGCTCGAGCGGATCCCCTTTTACTCAGGAAATACAGGACAAGCCTGTGCCCCTCAACTTCAGGTTGTCGGCATTGGAGACATACGACAGTGGCTCCGATCCTGCGAAGCATGTCGCCATGTTTCGGGCTCAGATGGCCCTCTATAGCACCTCTGATGCACTGATGTGTCAGACATTCTCGACCATCTTCAGGGGACCAGCACGAGCGTGGTTCAGCCGGTTGCGCCAGTCCTCAATCTCTTCCTTCGACCAGCTCGCTAGGGAGTTCGAGTAGAATTTCCTCGCCAGCGTGCGACCCAGACCTTCCATGGCCACCTTGCTCATATTACCTCAGCGTGAAGACGAGTCACTC